TCTGCTTCTGTCTCCTTGAACCCCAGTGGGCCTCAGCAGATGGCCGCTCACTCTGAGCCTGGTTCTGCTGGAGGTTTCTTCCTATTAAAAGGGAGTTTTTCCTCTCCACTGTCGCTACAAGCATGCTTTGTGTGAGGGATTGTATTCAAGTCAATGCAAGTCGATGCAATCAGCTGGTTTTCCTTAGATAGAAAACTTTGAATAAATCTGACTGGATGATCTGGTTGAAACGTAAATTTTCTTGAGATGACATGTTGTGAATTGGCGCTATAGAAATAAACTGAATTGAATTGAAGCTAGACATATTGAAGTTAGTTTTAAATCAGTTTGGGTCCGGATTAGCCAGCAGGTGGGCCCCGGTCCGTTAATCTGTGACCTCTGCAGCAGAGGATCTGGGTCCTACCAACCCGTTGCTTTGGTAGAAATCTACAAAGTTAATTCAAAACCAGTTAGCTTCTTCAATGCAACTCAATCACTTCCCTCTAACACTATTTAATCAATTAAAACTCGGTGATGAGCTCCAAGGTAAAAGTAAAGCATAAAGGAGATCATCCTGCGACCTGTGGGTTGATGTGCGCCTCTCCGTGTTCTGTAAGCTGTTTGTCCGGTCCATTAAAAATGAAATTATTAGACTTTGAATCTAGACCTAGAGAAATGGGAAAGGTTCCTACGTGTGACATTTATTTCCCCTGAAATATTTTGTTTCCTGATGTCTTTGTGATGTTAAGTGTGAACCAACAGTGCATTTTTAAGCAACCAGGGAAGCAGTTTATTTCAAGTCAAGAATTAATTTAGAAGAATAAATTTCACTGTTCCCTTTCATTTAGTTCAGCTCTTAAACATCTTGAACATTAGTCACACCTATCTATATTACACAAAATAACACGCGTTTTCATTTATTGAACTTTGTGACAATATAATTTTCAATTTTATGGCACCTGCTATCAAGAGTTAAATTAATCTTTTAAGTTTTAATTCAGTTCAACTGAACATGCTGATTTTTCACATTATGTAGACATAAAAAAAATAGAGTTGAAGTAACCAAGATGCTTAAATAGATCCAACAGATGCTAGATTTCTTTTTTCTGTGTGTTTTACCATCAAAACTGCATCTAAAACTACAATATTGCAAAAAGTATATATATATATATGCAAACAGTGTATTTCAGGACACTTTAAAAAGTCTTAATGACCATTAACTAATCCTCTAATAATCTATAATTTTAACAAAGGTATAAAGTATAATGTTAGTGATGTAACATAATGTCTATATGTACAAATAAAACAGCATTCAGAACTGATGTGTACAATAGAGGAGGAGGCTTAGTGGTCCAGCAGCAGTAAACTACGGGTGGGAACAGGACCTCAGCAGCAAATCAAAGTGAATCATCCTGACAGACACCTCCTCTACAATCAAACCACACTCTCGTCTTCTTCTATTCTCCTTCGTCTACCAATCTATCAGTTTATTATTGTGGAGGAGAGGGTGGGATGCTTTGCCAGTAGCCGAGTTGTCATCATTCCAGTTTTGAGCTGATAAATTCACTCAGAGCTCACCATAGTTCTGAGCTCCCGGAAAACCTGATGGTTTACAACAAATCCTGAGCGGGAAAAAACCCTTCCTGTTCCTTTGTCAGCCTACAAGCCAAAACAGAGGGCAGAGTTAACCGTCAGAGGATGAGGAGAACGGCCACCGACTGCCTGTCCTGGCTTCAGGAATGAAGGACATTATGGGGCAGGACTTCATCAACACGGATTACATCTTTAAAACCTCAGAGATGAACTGTACAGTAGAAAGGTCAGAAAAAAAAAAAGGATGTTTTCATTTGGAATGACCATGTAATGCTAGAATCACCACAAAGCAAAACTGGGAGGTTTCATTGCATCGTTTAAACGCTGTATGAATCTGTGTCGGGGTCCCGGTGTTCTGTCAGCTCAGCATACGGCGTTAGGCCGGCATGATCGTTTTTAGCAGTTATTAGTCCCGTTTAATTATTAATCTATTTATGTGCAATCTTAAAATACTTTCATGTACTGTAAAAATAAACAAATAAAAATAAAATGATCCGCATGTCCTCATGTTAAACAAACCAAAGACAAATAAATCAGATATCCTGTCAAAAAAGTTGTAGAATCCTCCCCCTATAAGTATTTCATTCTCCTAATAATCCTTTAATAGGATCCCTGTCAAACGGACTTTTAAAGCTAATGTGCGTAACGGACCTAGTGAAGGACTTTTTTGTTGTTTTATGGACAAAATGACAAAAACCTGACTAAATTGGGGAATAAAACAGCTTGATTGGCTGCAAGGAGAGCGGAGACAGAGGATACTGGCCTGACGCGGTATGCTGAGCTGACAGAACGCCGGTTCCTGTCATTCAGTCAGCAGAAGCTCCTCACTAAGCCTCATTTCCACAAATACATTTATGCTGGTAATTCTTTCAGATATACTAGGGGTGTAAATTAGAGACTGACACGGGAGTGGATTTTCACT